CCCCAAAACCCCAAAACCCCGTAAATCATAAATCGAGATTAATTGAGAATTAATAATATAAAATCAAATTGAGAATTAATTCAGAGAATAGAATGCCTCTTTGACTCATTCTCAGACTTTTTCCTTTATTTTTACCTCCATAAATCAAGAGCCTCTTATCTAAGCTAGGCGTTATTTATAATTTCTAGCTTTAATTTCTCTTGCAAGTTTGATAATCTCTCATCCTATTATGAATGCTTAACAATTTCATCTATAGATTTATTCTAATCTACTGATGGTAAGTTTTGCATTTTTCCATTGAAAATAGAATTTTGATTGTATTTCTTGAAATTATAAAATTTTGCAATATCGAACCCTGAAGATGATCTTGAATTTTATATTGAGGTATCATTGTAGTATTTGAAAGTAGAGTTATTTTATCTAGATCTTTCAACTGATTTTTATCTATAATCTTATTACCTTTTTTTAACCAACTAGATATTCTCAAATATCCTAGGTCTTTTCTTCTTTTCATATTCTTTATCCTTTCATATCGTTTCCAAAGTTTACTTAATGTAGCCTTTCGTCGGATCATCTTTGTATTGAGGCCTTTAATAGGTGGCTCTTTGGAAATTATTGGAGTCGATTGTTAGTTTTAAATTGATAGGGTCATTTGTGATAATGTTATGCTTGAGGTCTGAAAAATTTACATAATTCAATTTCTTCTTTAAAGGCTAGTTCTTTTCTTTTTTAAACATCTCCATTGTAGTGATCGATTTTAGTTCATTTGGACTTATTGGCCTTGAGTCAATCGTCCTTGTATGAGCTTATCTTAGCATATATGTCATTTATTCTTAAGGAATTACTTAATTTGCTTTGTCTTGCAAATGTTTAGAGTACGTTTCCTAAGTATAGTTTTCTCTTTCAGGAGAAAATCTATTAGATTTAGAGTCAAAAGTCTAGTTAATTTTGTCTAATCTGTAACTTAAATTATTCTCATGATTTAGATTTAATTGGTCTTTTTTATCGAAGAGAGCGCATTCTTTATACGGACTAAATTTTGGGATTACCATTCTGGATATATGATTCTGTTAAACTCTAAAATGATGAGTAGATCTATCAAATTATAAATTCTTTTTATGGTCTAAAAGTGTCAATGGCATCAAAGATCTTGCACTATATTACTTTTCATCTCTCATTTTAGGTTTTTATTAAATTTATTATCCAAAATCTAATTTTTTTTCCAATATCATTATATATGAATGACGGGGTTTTGGGGTTTTGGGG